ACACCACCCCCCATAAAACCCCATTCCTAATTGGCATATATGGTGTTTTTGGCCTCTGGAGACATCAAAACGAAAAAGTAAAGCGGTCCCGGGTCCAGATATGACCATGAGACCTACGGTAAAAGCTTCTTACCTATTTGGAAAATTAACTAAAACCAACATTATTTATTCGTAAAGTAAACAAAAGATCCCTTCATCGGAGGATATTCAGTAGATTAATTACCACGACTGAAACTCAACTACACAATAACTCCGACTGTCTTAGAACTGGCATTAGGCAACACTGAGCGGAGGCAATTACATCATTGAGTCTGGAAAGCATTTCATGAAGCTGCCTCAAACGTACAGCTGATATGGAATAAAATATCATTATCGGAGGAGTAAATATATGCGGTTACTATTTTTTGTCAGGCTTAAGAAATTGATTGCCTTGGTAGCGGAGACAAAACAACTACAGTAATATTTTAAATTTTAGCTTTAAAAAGTTAAATTGACATTACCATATTAAAAAAAAAAACATATCTGTTCAGTGTAATACCTGTATACGGTAAACAACAATTCTAGAGTAGTATAATATAAAACAAAATACAGTATAAATATCAAGGATTGTCAAGTCGTAAAATGTTCATGGAGAAGGAATTTGTTGTTTAAATTAGTTGACAATGTCACTTTTAAACTCAAATTAGTTTCCAGTAGATGATAGAATGCAAATTCTAGAATTGTAATTTGGTTAGTTATTTCAATTAAAACATTCCAAGCACGGAGCCCTGGTGGTGCATACTTGTCCCCTATTAGCTATTGATAGTTAGTTAGTTAGTTAGCTATTAGACCTGTAATAGTTCAAGGTAAACTTTTTCAATTTAAAGCGAAATTGCATAACAACGGTCAAATTTAAACATAAGTTAGAGAAGTACCAAGTTTGGTAAATTGTAATATTTCGCACAGAGTTCTACCTACTTAAAATAGCATCCATGGAACTATTAATTTTTGTCTACGAAGCGAAAGGTAAACGATATCCGTTACAGCTTTACAGTGCAATCTCTTTATTTTACTCAATAGCTCAAAACGATTACCTTACTTAGAAAAATCCCACTCGTTGACGATGAAACAACAAATAAACATAGTGTTGAGATCATCTCAACAATCGAAAGATTTTTAATCGATTATATTTTAAAAACCTAATTAGTGTTATTAAAACAGTTTACTGTAGTAGCTTAGTGTTTGCAGTAGGCTATCTATGAAAATTTAAATATTATTTTGGTGTTTTAAACTAAAACATACTCACCTTTACAATATCAATTACGAAAAATGATCACTTTAGGTTGCGCATAAAGTGTGTAGGAATACCATAAAATACGTTAAGTATTGACGATTTGTTTGTTTTTCATTTGAGAGTAATTCTATTCGGTTTTATTCCCAACACATATCTTGAACAATACTTGACTCCTGACACCCAAGCGATGAATACTGTAGTGCAGGAATGTCTACAGAAGCCTCTTTAGATGCAAATCAGTACTAGTTTAGTGATACTAACGCGAGCAGAGGAACACGCTAATGAGCCCACATCAGACGAGATGTTTTAACAAAGACTGTTGTTATAACTTTCTCCGCTTTATAATGCAAGTGGCTTGGCCACGCGACAACAGTGCGTTCTTTGTTTAGTTGTGACGCCGCAGTATATTACTACTTACTATATAGTCTGTAGGGTGAAACCTGTCTCCATGTAGCCGGAGATTCAGGGTCAGATAGCATCATGATAATTACTAGACATCCAACTATATAGTAAAATACGTGAATAAAACAATGCAAGGCAGTAAAGAGTACATAGTTAACACTCCGTCAGTATAGATCGTAGCAATATTCCTCAAAACACTCAGGGCGGCTCACGCTGTTTGGGGTAACAGTGTTAGCAAATGAACATGAAATGAGCATTTTTGTAAACGTTGAACGCAAGGAAACACATTTTAAAACCCCACACGTTAAAAAACCCGACTCTACGGAAAATAAAAGTCAAGAAAATTAAAGCCATGCAAATAACGTGGTACTTCATAGAACAACAACACCAGTTAATTAAATTATATGGCAGTACTATTATTGACTTAATGATGCTGAACCACCATTTTGACATAGAAAGCCGTACTGTAGATACTTTAGTAAACAAAAGGAAACTAGTTATGTGATCATATACCAAAGTGTTATAAAATTAGATTTTCACCCTCAGAATTTAGGCAAGAGGAAACAAATACTAGACGATTAAAATAAGTTGTCTTTACGTTTGGCTCGGTTAAAAAGATGACACAAATCAGTAATATACATCAGCTCTATTGGCTCGATAATTCAACTACTTTCTAAAACTAGCTTCAACTATATTATGAGGATTAAATTTCTATCTAGCTTCAACTATATTATGAGGATGTAATTTCTATTTCTATCAAAAATCAAAGCTTCAGTACTCGCCCCTTGTAGTTTGACGGACTGATGAATTAGGTCTTACATCTATAGTGCAAAATATAATCATTGGCAATAATCAATAAATTTTCAGACGTTATACAGAGCTTTGTCTATGCGAGTAGATAGTCTATATAGAATCACAGTGGCCATGGCCAAGTAGGTGACTTCTTGATGATACATTCGCGTGATTCAGATGTTAAATCTTCTACGCCAATTAAACAAGTTTACACATTGCAAAGCGAGAACCAACTTCGCTGTTGGGATAAAATACGATTCGTTGTGCTCCCCTTACAATCACTATGTCAAAATTTAACTTAGGGATAAGATTTACATTTAGGAGGGATTTCAATTTAGCACAAATTAAATTTCATACGAGATTTCGCACGAAACAAACTGTGGAATGGAAAGAAATTAAACAGACTCTGAGATAATAAAAAGTCACGGCAATCGTAAACCTAAATAACCAGGGCCTGAAATCCCAGTGCTCAAAAGGAGTTTAATTGTTTTGCGTTGAATTTGGTAGCTTGTGCTGTTCATTGTAATTTACGAAAATTACATTTTCAGATTTACTTTTTGGTATACTAGGTTTTGGAATTATCTTTGGCTTTGGATACTAAAAATATACTTATCAATATATGTAAAATGTTAAACCTGTTTCATATGAAGCTCATTTCGTATTCGGTCACACTACACAAAATGATTTTCTCTAAATAGCGCGTATTTTACTGTGTAAACTTTAATATTTGGTTAGAATCTATTTTAAAAAAGATAGTTTTATTTGGTTGAACGGTTTTTAGAAAACTACAAGAAATGCCCCCACCGCAGCAAACCTGCAGACTAAGCGAATTTCCATTTGTCTGATTTAATTTTCAATCAATATATTTCAATAACATTAGGTTTAACGTGTCACCTGGGTTTGCTGCTACAGAGATGATAATAAAGTGTGTTTTTAGAAAAATATAAATAGCTTAGTATAAAGTATACAAATTTGCCAAGTTTGATCAAAATATATCCATAGACAAGCAAACTACATGAATCAGTTTACTTACTCTCCCATAAAACTAACATGGAAATTAAATTAAATTTTTTTTTAAATGTTCTCAGTAACCAATAACCGCACAAAAACGCTGCAATATACTATTTTGTTTAAGCTATTCAAAATCGTTTTAAAAAGAAATTGGAAATTTTTATGTTTTAAAGGTCGAAAATGGAAAAACCCAATTTTTACTCTATTAATCCCCCGTTCCCAAGGTCCGATCACGTTTTTATCAAATTCCATCGAAATCGGATTAGTTTTGACTATATACATATATAAACATTTAAACGAATAGTTTTTCTGGCCTCTAGGGGCATCAAAATGAAAAAAAAACCAATATGTCGGTCCCGGGTCCAGGTCTTACCTTGGTACTTACGGTGATAGCTTATTCCCTATGGGAAATTTCATAAAAGTAAAGATCGCGAAGATTCGCGAGGATCTTAAATGAAATGTAATTCGAATTCAAAAATGTGTATGCCACTAACATATAATCACTGTACTGACAATCGCACAATTAATGTTCATTTTCATTCCACCGTCATCTACATGGTGAGTATTTTTATGTGATGTATTTGCATTTTGTATAAAACATTTTTATCATATTTATAAAAAGCATTTAAACTTAGGGTGGTCATAATATTATGTTTTTTCTACGTATGGATTAGACCTCACCGACATTCGTAAATATCTGAAATATTGTGCACATATTTAAGTGACAATTAGTTCATGTTGCAAAACTGAACAATTGGTTCAACGAATTAAACGCGATTTCCATTCTTTTAAAATATTTGTACGAAATATGTTTTCTTTAACTAGTTTTGACCATTTTAATCAGTGGGAACCTGGGACCTTTGACTATTGATAGAGTTAGTCATTCTATCCCCATATTAAATTTGCCGCAAATTTAAGAGTCAAAATGGGCGTAGTTAAAGAGAGCCACCGACAGATTGTGCTGTTGTGAAGGACTGACTCTAATTCGGACTTTCTAACCAAGTCAAACCAATAGTACGACTTTTTGTAAGCTATAGCATTTTCTATGTCACGTCAACTACCACAGTAAAAAATGTGAAAACAAAATGTTAGACAATAGTTATAAGTTGTAGCATAGATAAAACATACAACTAGGGACGTCTACTTCAGTGTACAAAGGTCTATGCTAATACATAGTCAATGCTAACACCTACCAGCTGTGATATAGAAAGTAAATCTGATATATCGTTTCCCATAATAAAGGGGGTTAGTTTAAAATCTACTTTACACCAAATTCAAAAACACTCTTAAACACCCAAGATAAATCTATCACACGTTACTAGAATACAAAGTACGAGTATACAAGTTTAGTATTAACACTAACACAACTAAAAAAATCATATAGTCAACACAGAAAGTACACGAGAACATCATCTTATGTTAATCAAGTTCACGAAAGTTTTGGCAGTACTCGTAGTAAAACTTGAAACCAGATTAGCACAAAACAGCAAAACAAACGAGTCAAACCTCACACGATACTCACTGGAATCCCAATATTCCAAGTTGTCCAAATGACGAACTCCTGCAAACAGGTATTGCAATCAGAAATACACATTGCCAAGGTTAGGCCTACTCAGTGCGTAGTCGATTAATCGTCTGTAGAGAGATAAACTTAAAGATGATATTTTGCTAATTTTAAGAACGGTTTGATCAGATGAGAATAATTATCACTGGAATTTTTATTCATTCCCTAGGTTAAATAACCAGGACTATTTTAGTAACACTAATAATTCCATTCGTTACACCCTTCTACCTTGTATAAAATACCCATGAAGGTGAGTAGACAGAATAGGATTTTCAATTATTTATTGTAATGGTTTTGAATTGAGAGAGAGTTTTTCGAATCAATGGAAGTTCTCCTCCTAATAGACCTATATATATTGAAGTTCTCCAAGTAGGTGGAATGACCGATCAAGGTGGATTTTGAACCACCGGGTCACAATACCACGTCGCTCTAAGCCAGTGGTGTTTTGGCAGGATTCGAACAGAATCCCTAAGGTCAGAAGTCCTAAGGTCAGAAGTACCGTGCTCTAAACATTAAACCAACTACGTTCGGATATGACTGTAAACTATGCACGTGTCAAGTACCTTGATTTCCATTTATTTATTCATCCATTCTGTTAATTTTACCTTTAAAGTGTACACCGTGGTAGCCAGCTGGTCTAGTTGTAGAGCGTGGGACAACGGTTTCTGAGGTCCCGGGTTCAAACAAATCCAATTAAATTACTAATGAAATAATTTGTTATCTAAGTGGTAATGACGCAACTCCTAGGTCTAGCCTGAAGTAAAAGTGAAAAAAAAAAACTATTCCGGGCTAGAGACTAGCGTCTTAGGACAAAAACTACCAATCAAAATATATTTTATACCCATGATTAACTACTAAATATGACAAGATACATTGACAATATAGCTAAGACTATTAATTCTTAACTTAAACTCATAATCTGCATATATAATATAGAACTCCCTTTTAAGCTTGATCCCCTATAGTTGGACATATTTGAAGGGTTGAACTATTGAAAAAATAAATAAAAGGAGAGCGAGCTGGTCTTGTCCGGAGGTCCGGATTTCAAATCTCACCAAATCACCAATGAATTTATCTAAGTGATAATGCCACACCCCTAGGTCTAGCCTGAAGTAATGTGAAAACAACCATTTCAATTTGCAAAAAATCTCCCAAACACAATTAAATGTGGTATCAAGTAATCATATGTGTAAATAAACGCGTGAAAAGGACGAGAAATATAGTTATCAATGTTAAACACTTAATAACATCCCTGTTGGCTCGGAAGGACCCTATTTTGACATAGCGTGGTGGTGACATCCGTAGTTAATTGACATCTGCGCTGACATAATGTCACAAACATCGCAGTGTGCACTGAAACTGTCTTAAACATACTTTATTGTGCAACCCGAACATTTATTTGGCATCAATTACCACAGAAAATACACTTTTGGTCCGTGTAATTAACAAGAGTTTTCGTGATTCTTCACTACATTCGTCCATATATTTTTTGCTGTTATAAAAGAACACCTGTTTATGAGGTAGGCCTATTCAATATTTTTACCTATTTACATATGGAGAAAGTAATATGCATAACCAATTTCACTCCACCAATGCAATAAAGTATTGAGTTTACACAATTATGGTAAACATCAGTAAAAAAGGTAATAATTGTAGAAAAATGTGCAACATAAGACAATGCCAATCATATAATAAATGTAGTAACGAGACAAAAGCACATGTCATTTACTATTCGGGACTATTGAGTCTTGGGCGAAATGGCGAAACCAAAGTGCGAAGTTATTGAGCGAGAAAAATCTACAGCTGATGTCCTTGACTCATATTTTTTAGCCAAGCCGCATAATTAAGGCACCTTGTTTTTCTGTGGCCCAATGGATAAAAAGACCCACTTTTTAAAGCGGGATGACGAAAATAATTTTATAACGGCTTGATGATATGTTTATCAGTCGGGACTATTTCCTTTGGAAAAATCAGCGAACGAAGTTAACAAGCTGCAAAACCAACAGCTGACGTCATAGATAACAGCTGGTTGTTTTTCCCTGGGGATGAAAATAACCATGTCTGACCCTTGCCATATGTATTGAAAACAGCAGTTTCGCTGAAGTATGATGAAAAGGGATCTGCTACTTAATAAGTACAGTAGGAAAAATGTCAACCTTTGCAAAATATTTCTTCTTCAGATTTATTTTGTTATGGTACTAGACGATAGTATTGAAAATATTCTTAATTAATAATGTATGGAACCGAATGCATGATACGAAGGTTCAACAGATAGTTTTTTGAGGGAAACCATAACATAATCTTGGTAAACTCGAGAATGTTTATGGGTAGTTTACACGGATATGCAGTAAACTTAAACCAAGCAGAGCCGGAAGACAATATCATTTCAGCCAAGATGTGTAGCGTGATGGCCTTTAGGGTAAGTAATTTGTTTATAAACTTTAGACGGTTATTCCGACAAGTACCTAAAGTTTAGACCAGGTTTAGACATCTTCTTGCAACTAAATGGTTAAAAATAAAGTAACTACAAACAATTCATCCTGGCGGATTCCAATTGATTTTAGTGAGTTTAACACCACTCATAAATACAATTATAAGACATAAGTATTAGTAACATAGGATAATTTGCTTAGTATCCATTTTAAGTCAGAAACATTAGCTTTGCACTTGTACGACTGTTATTCTGCTTTCACCATAACAAAGGGAAGAATCATCAATTGCAGAGGGACAGGAGAAAAACATTTCAAGTGATAGCGGTCTGGGTGTCCATTTCGGAAGCCTTTTCAATTGACAAAAGGGCACTTAACGGGGCAACAGAATCATCAACTTTATGATGGGATGACAGGGGCTCGTTTTGCGAAAAAGTGTTTGAGATACACTTGAAATATTCTGGGTTGTTTCTGGTATGATAAATACACTTGTCATTTGAAATCAAAAATACAATATATGGTTGTCTAGGTAGGCCTAGATAGGCTACTTCAGATGGTTAAGAATAACGAAAAATTAGCCCATAATATCACTTGAAATATAATTCCAGGTGTTTAGTCCGTTTAATGGAATACTCGTTTATGATTACAGCATACTTTTAAAAAAGCTACATGAACAATATCACGAGAAAAAATACTATGAAGAAACTACCTCAGATAAATATACCAAATTAATTAGCACTACCATTGACTATATCACTAGTGTTAGTCAATGACACTACCTAGCTTTTTAGTACTAGGTGAAGCAATATTCACCTTATACGTTGGTTATGTTTATAATTGGGCCTTGTTTATTCTATGATAGTACATAAAACCAAAGCTTATGTGTATGTATGGTTTTTATATTTGCACAAACACAGGTTATTTATAATGTTCTAAACTCATTCCAGGCTTTATCCGAAAATATTTTTATGGGTTAGGCCTATATTACTCATTTATAAACACGATTATTGAACTTTATAAACCAGTTATAAGAAAATGTTGTAGTTTTCATAAATATTACTTTCGATCTTCAATATTTTACTTTACAGAAAATGGCGTTTCTAATATCCTCTCCCTAACTCTAACAAACGTTATTTATTAGGTTATATTAGAATACCACATTGTTTTAGATTATCTTTTCGTACTCTTAGAGACCAATGTAAAAATTTAACAATACTCTTACTAAAATTAAATTCTGATAATATATAATGAATTTAAACCTTACATTAAAAATAAAAAAGGGAAATCTATTTGTAGCTCTTTTACATATTTAGGTATACTAATTGTCAAAATATTAAAATAAATATAAAAAAATCGTTATAACTGGGTTAAAATTAGTTAGGTAAAATAACATGTAAAAAACAGTTGATTATGCAAATTTAAAGAGTATGTGATAAACTCAAAAGTGTTAAAAGATTCATTTTCGACATAGATAGAAGAGGTAAGTTTTCGTTATCAGAGACCACTAGGGATGTGATGTGATGGATGATACATCTCTCGCGATCACAGTTTGGCGCCTCTTACGTCATAACTGAACAAGTTAGAGGATATTGTAGGAACTTGGTGAACTTAAGTTAGGGAAGGTATGAGGTACCGGCAACACATGGTGGAGAGGTATTGCCTATAATACTTTGGGGAAAATCGGACTAAAAACATTCAGTCTTTATCTTATGAGTAATACACTCAAAAATCATGTTAATTTTTTGTTCCCCTAATAGAAATTTCTGTAACCTCCTGAATGTATATCTGAATTAAACCGAACAAGGGTGGAAATGATGAAAAAAAATGTTGTCAACGTTTTAGTTGCGTTGTCAATTATGGAAATTATGGGTGGAAATATGAGGTTGGAAATTCGCAGCATGGTTAAAGCGGGCGGGTCTAGTGGTACAACGCGGGGCTTTGGTCTCTGAGGCGTAGGGTTCAAATCCCATCAATCACCTACACCTTTGGCTATATTAAATTATCGCGACATCCTAGGCCTAGCCTGAAGTAATGTATAAAAAAGTTCCTGTATGAATCTATCGTTCATAGCGTTCTAGGATGTGAAGGTACGAGATCCTAAAGATACACGGTTGAACTTAAAATAAATGACAATTAACATATCCAAAAATCTTACAGTCGTTACACAAGAGTTTAAAGAGGAGGCTACCATTTTTCACAATGACAAATAAATATCCAAAATTATTATGAATGACTTAGAACGGATTACACATAACCATTGGTGTAAAAAAAAATATTTGAACATTTCAGTATACTAAATTATATCGCAAAAATAAATTAATATTAATGCGTGAGAATTTTAAAACCTTTAGCTAGTCTTAATTAAAGCGTATGCCCCAAATGAGAAATTCGTTAAAATAAAAACAACAATGTTCCTTAAAAAAATGTTGGACAAGTTTAAACCTGCATAGTATGTTTATGCTAAAGGTAGAGCGAGGTTGCTGGTAAACAACCATTTACATCAGCGCCTGCAAACAATAGCAGTGCCTGCTGTGTATTGTTTATGATAACAGCCTGTAGATAATCGAT